TATATATATATATATATATATATATATATATATGTGTGTGTATATATATATATATATATATATATATATATATATATATATATATATACACATATATGTGTGTGTGTGTGTGTGTAATTACAATTAACTGACACAAGAGATTCAAATATATAAGCTGTTAGCTTGCTCTGTTCCCATTACACTATTAAAGAACACAGAATAAATCATTCTGGGTATTATTTATCACCTGCTGGCAAAAGAAAAAGGTGGATGAAATCGGGAGGATTATCATCTGGAAGGGACTGCAAGGCAAGAAACACTGGAATCCCACAAGGATAGAAACATAACCAATAAATATTTATGTTCTGTGGCAAATGTTGAAATGTAACACAAACTAGTTGTAAAAATATATTTTTTGTGATGCTTTCAAGTTGTGTCAGTCGCAGCTTTGGGAACAGTCCCTTCACTTTCATGTAAGGGGTGTGATGTCATGCCAAGGACCCAATCATGAGACTGCCAGATTTCTCCATTGAACAAACAGACAATCCCTCACATTTCTGACTGAGAGTTGAATGAAGTTTGGAGGCTATAGAGATACAGCAAGAGTGAATAATAAGATTTGAGAGATTTGTGATATTTATCATGTTTGAATTGTATAGTTAGGGTATAGTAAATGGTATAAGGACTGTACTTATATAGCACTTTTATATTTTATCAAAATACTAAATGCACTTTACAAGAATATGTTCCTCATTTACCCATTCATACAGCACACTATATATTTCTATACAACGAATAATCAGTGCTTCATCACATTCACACACCGATGGGACACACATCAAAGGCAATGAGGAGTTCAGTGTCTTGCCCATGGACACTTTGGCATGTGACTGCTGGTGGATTCAAACCCCCCAACTCTTACTCTGGAGAACGACTGTGCTAACCACTCATCCACAGCCACCCCCCATGTAGTGTAGTGTGTTTAAGTCAAACCAATGTGGCAGTTTATGAATGTGAAACTGCAGCTTTTGTTTGAGGCGGGGGAGGCCACATAACCAGAAATAGATGGAGCTGCAAAATCAGAAATTTCTCAGACAGGAGAGGCAGAGATGAAAAGGAAACACAAGGTTTAAGATAGAGGGATGAATTAATGAGAGAGAGTGGGATATCCATTATTTGTTTTAGAAGAGGAAAGAGAGGAAGAGTGCAATGAGCAGCACTTTCCTGCCTGTGAATACAAACTCCTGCCTGAACACACACTACTGCCTGTGTATGTATGTACTCCTACCTTTGGATACACACTCCTTCCTGTGGATACACACTCCTTCATGTGAATACACACTCCAGCCTGTGAATATGCACTCCTTGCCTGTGCCCGATCACTGGCATGACGTCAGCAGCATTTGTAATCATTAGCCATGTGCTCAGGTGTTTCCTTGACTTTTTGTTTAAGGGTGTTTTAGTACTTGTGTAACGAATGTTAATGTGAAAAAAACATAACCACAATAAATAAATAAATAAATAAAGTGGGCTATCTAAGACTTCCCCACTCCTTTCTTTCACATAGAGGAGTAATTTAATTTAAACTATATTCTGCTTTTACTTTGCCTTAAAGTTCCAATTATTAAAACCTTATACTGAATTACATTCCTTATATATAAAGAAACATACCTGTCACTGCACAGGTAATAATTAAAGACAGTATAAAAGAAAACACACAAGTTACACAGCAATTTTCTGAAAAATTGAACATCATTATTTAGAGTGCCGCCTGCATTGGTGCCAGGTAACAGGTTCTTTTTGAAGCTAGTGCACGCCAGTAAATCTTCAGAAAAGCTCAAATTGTGTAATTTTCATGAAATTCAGAGAAAAATACAGAACTTTTAGGGATAGCAAAGAATTCAGATCTTTTCCTAAAGACAAAGGAATATTCATCTCCATTCTTCATTCTGAGAGTCCCAAAGTGAGGATTAAGGAAAAGAGTGTAAGAATGAGTATTTTAAGTGTATTTTAGTGTAGTTTTTAGTGTAGACGTGTATTTTAAAGTCTGGAATAAAAGAGCTGATGAAAAACTGATGAAAACAGAGGTATGGCTCTACAGAATCTTGGGGTCAATTATGTGCTATGAGAAGAGAATCACATTGGTTTGGCTCTTTGTCTGAACACAGATGCTGTAAAAAAATAAAAAAATAAAAAACAGTTTTACCTTTTTTATTGAGAGGACGTGCACGGACGCACACACATATCCTGTGCTCCTCAATCTGAAATATGGAAAAATACAGGTAAATAATGACACACTTGTATAAGATTAATCTAAGACTTTCATTTTTAGGTTTAAGATGTCAGAAAGTAAGAGAAAGACAGGATGTAAAAAAAACAACTTTTTTCCTCATCGTAACTTTATTGCAATCACTTCTGTAAACTTTGTGAATTGTATCCATTCATGTAAAACAGGAGCTTACTTAAGAGAAGGGTGTTATTACTTTGTTTTTTTTATTACTTTTATAATGTAAAAAAGTAACTTTATATACCATTCTAAAAGGTTTGAGTCAGGTCCACTGGATGGGTTCTTCTTTGTTGAAATGTTTTGTCTTTTATCCAAAAGACTTCTTCAGTCTAAAGAGATGTGGACTATGATGTTTGCAGATGACATTGTGATCTGTGGTGACAACAGGGAATAGGTGGAAGAGAACATTGAGAGGGGAGGTATGCACTTGAAAGAAGAGGAATGAAAGTCAGCCGTAGTAAGACAGAGTACATGTGTGTGAATGCGAGGGAGTCCAGTGGAACAGTGAGACTAGAAGGAGCACAGGTTACAAAGATGCAGAACTTCAAGTACCGGTACTTGGGGTCCATTGTCCAGGAAAATGGGGAGTGTGGTAAAGAGCTGAAAGATAATCCAGGCAGAATGGAGTGGATGGAGAAAAGTTTCAGGAGTGATTTGTGACAAAAAGGTGTCACCAAGGGCCAAACGAAAAGTTTATAAGACAGTTGTGAGACCAGCTATGTTGTATGGCCTGGAGACAGTGGCATTGACGAAAAGACAGGAGACAGAACTGGAAGTGCCAGAAATGAAGATGTTGAGGTTCTCATTAGGAGTGACAAGGATGGATAAGATTAGGAATGAGATCATCAGAGGTACAGCACAGGTTGAAGAATTGGAAGATAAAGTTAGAGGTCAAGCCAGACTGAGATGGTTTGGACATGTCCAGAGGAAGGACAGTGGGTATATTGGTAGAAGAATGTAGAACTGCCTGAAAAAAGACAAATGGGAAGGCCAAAGAGAAGATATATGGATGTAGTTAGAGAGGACATGAATGTAGTTGCAGTGAGGACAGAGGATGCAAAGGACAGAATGAGATGGATAAAGATGACTCACTGTGGCGACCCCTGAAGAAGGCTGAGTGATACTAGAAATAACAGCATTGTAAGAAGTTGACATTTGGACATTGAGGTTTCCACCCCTGTTTAATGACAGGTGGGTTCTCTTCACTACAACTTCCTTTACTCCTCTCTTGAACCAATGTTCCTCTCCACAAAGAGTCCTGGCGTGAAGGTGTTGCTCTTCTGTGCTGAGCCATCATTTTGGCTCAAGGTTCAAGGTTCTTTATTGTCATTCACATCACATGTGGTACATTACGTGGAATTAAATTGGCCAGTGACTCTTTAGGTTCCCTGATGTAAGACTGATCACAGCCCTCCTGACACTGAACAGCATACACAATATTACTCTGTTTGTGCCGGGGGACTGGATCTCTGGGATGAACCAGTCTTTGCTGTAATGTATTTTGAGATTTAAAAGCCACAGGGACATTATGATTAGAAAATAAACGTCTCAGTTTCTCTGAAACTCCTGCAACATACGGAATGACCACTGGTCTGGGTCTGGGTTCCTCCTTTTCACCTGATGGCTGACTGGAGTCCTGTTTGGGTTTCTTCTCTGCTTTCAGGAAGGCCCAGCTAGGATATCCACATTGCTCTAGAGCCTGTCTTGTGTGGGATTTTTCCTTCTGCCTGGCTCCTGAGCTAGTGGGGACGCTGTCTGCTCTGTGGTACAGAGTCCTGATGACTCTTAACTTGTGCTCCAAAGGGTGATGGGTGTCAAACTGCAAACACTGGTCTGTGTGGGTAGGTTTGTGGTAAACATCGGTTTTCAAATGTCCTCCATCACAGAAGAAGACATCACAGTCCAAGACCTCACTGTCCGATTTTAACCTTAAACTGACCACCTCCACGGCTTCATCAACAGGAATGCATGTAAAGAGTGATGTGATATAAAAAGAGACCATTGTTTCATCAGTCTCCATGATGACATCCCTCACCTTATCCACAAAGTCCATGGTGTTCTGTATGTGGTGTTCTGAGCTGCCAACTAAAGGGATGAGTACAGACGCCAGATATTTGGAAACATTGTAAGTGACAGAGTTAATCATGCTAACAATTGGTCTTAAAGGTACACCTTGTTTGTGGATTTTAGGTAAACCATACAGACTAGGTGTGGCCTCCCCTGGGTACAGTCTGTAGTGCAGAATAAATTAAATTATTATTATTATTATTATTATTATTATATGGTCAATAGTCTTGTCCTGCTCCATGTGTTTCAGGCACTCTATCAACTTCTTCTTGTAACCACTTCCTGGATCTCTTTTCAGCAGTTCTTAAGTGGTTAAGTCACTAAGGAGTGCCATAACATTCTCATTATGGTCTTTCTGGTTCAGAATCATTGTGCACCTTCCTTTGTCTGCTGGGAGGATGATGACGTTCTTGCCTTTGCTGAGAGTGGTGACTGTGTCCATCTCTGCTGATGTTGGAAGGTGGTGGTTTGGCGTTGCTGAAGCAGGCTGAAACTTTGTTCCTGAGTTGTTCTGCTTCTAACTTTGACATTTTGTGTTTGCAGATGGCTGATTCTGTGGCTGTGAGCACCACCAGAGGAAATTTATATTTCATTATTTAAGAGTAGATTCTCTACTTACAGCTTTTACCTCACCTTTTGCTGCTTTTTAACAAGCTTTTTACTTATTTTACCTTATAGGTACTGCTTTGCTATTTTTCAGTTGCATTTTGCTACTTTTAGATTTTACTTTTAGCTCTTATTGTATTCAAAAACGTTCAATACAAAAACAACTGGACTTTATTTGTAACAGTCCAGTCGAAAGTTTTTGAATTTATCCTGTCCTGGATGACTGAGAATCTTCACCAGCTCTTATTGTATTACTTTTAGCCTTGTTGAAGTTAGTGTTCTGCATCTTTAAATACTGATAATTAAGTTTCAGCCTCTTCAGCAAATTTCAGTAATCATTTTAGCACTTAGCTTTCAAACTTTATTTTTGGAGAAAATGCAATATCTGTAGTTTTTTTTATTTTTTTTATTATTAATTTTACATTTGTTCTTTCTTTGATTTTAAGTGTTCTTCTTATTCTGCCCTTTCTTCTTTCTTTCCTCTATTGCATGGCCTTCATCTCCCTTCATTTCCCTTCATCTCTCTCTTTTCCTCCAGCTCTTCCTCTCCATTCATGTCCTGTGGCAAATTGCTGTTCACAAAGAATGGACTCACCACATCATTTGATGTTAAAGGTCTGTAGTCCAGACTGGCTCTGAAGTCTCTGATCATACACATAATCTCATAGTTGGGTAAATTAACATCAACCTCCTGAAGCGGAAAAGAGAAGAGAAGATAAAAAAAGCATATTCTTTTTTATGAAACACAATAAAAAAATAGAGAAAATATTGCATGGAAGTTGAGTCAGCTGTCATAGTACTGTTTCCAGTTAACCCACTGGGAATTAGACATTTTTGGGGATTTTTAAATTTTACTTTCATATTTCACACTAAAAACTGTTTAACCTTCCATGTTTGGTGTCATTTTATTCAATACAACCTCCCATGTGTGAATTTCAAGTTATTTCATAGTTATAATGGACATAAAATCACACAAAAAACACAAAATCCAAATAGGAAAATTATTGGGGTTCTTCTTCAACAACCACAAACATTCATACTGAACTGTTGTTACAACTTAATATAAACAGTAAATTTCATTTTTGATATGTCGACACATTGCGATTTTAACCATTTATAAATCAAAACATTCAATTTGAACTGGGACAGTTTTGACTTTTCTTTTTAAAGTTTACCGGTGTGTGTGTGTGTGTGTGTATATATATATATGTATATATATATATATATACATATATATATATATATATATATTTTTAATTAATGTTAAATTGAAATTTCGCAACGAAAAATGTTGAATCGACTCTTAAATTCTTGCAAACATTATTCTTTTTTAAATCTATTTCAGCATACTTTCTCAATTATTGTCTTCTTATGCTACTTTTTGCTTTTAGCATCATTTTTGCTACTTTTAGCTACTATCCTGCTGCTCAAAACTTGTAGCCATTATTCCTCATTTCAGACATTTATAATTTGCTGGAAAAATATGCAATACAGTAGTCCCTCTCTACTTCATGGTTCGTTCATTGCGGACTCGCTCTAACGTGGTTTTTCAAAATAAGATTGGACATAACACACGATTGGCTGATTGATGGACGAGCTGCACGATCGGGATGGAATTTTTATTGGAAATAAATTATTTTAAATTATTTAGCACCTGCTACACCTTTGTGCAGCCCAGAGCTGCAGAAAAAGCTTCCTCCTGCAGCTGATCAGCTGTTCACTATGCAGAGCGGAGAAGTGGGTGTGGCCAAGAGCATTTGCATGTGGCAAAGAGCAGAGGAGGCAGGGAGGTGAAATGATGACATTCTTTGCTCTTTTAGAGCTTTAGAGACACATTGTTTAGAATATTGCAAGAGTGTGGGAAGGGTTTAAGACACCTT